TTTTTTTAATTTTAATTAATATTTTTATATTATATAAATAATAAATTAAAATTTTTAAATTAAAATTTTGAATAAAATGGTAAAAAATTTGAATTTAATTCTTAAATTAAATAAGAAAATATTTTAAAATTAAGTTATTTTAATAAAATTTTATTTAAAAAATTAAAATATTTTAATAAAAATCTTTTATAAGTTGAATTATTAACTCCTTTTTAGCTATTTTTATATATAATCCGACCTAAGAGAGTACGAAACCCATCCCTAAACTCATTTTATCAAAATAAAAATCGAAAGTGATAAACGAAACTACCTAGTGGGAAGAATTTAATTATTTTAAATAAAAAATTTTGTAAATAAAAAGATAAATATTAAAAAATATTATAAAATTTGATGACGAATCGATTCTGTATACTGAGATTGAATGTAATTTTTAAATACCACGACTTAATAAAAACAAGTTAAGCACTTATCACGTGACGCAAGTGATCATATTTTTTTCGTGTGAATAATAGAATAAAACGACAACACATTATTATTAAATGAAACTTTTCAATCGATACTTAAATAAATATTAATTTATTAATCATATTCCCTATCTTCTATCGTAAAAAAAAACAAAAAAAGTTAGGGGGAGTAAACATTATTTTGTCCATACAAGGAGAGCCACGTGACACGGTCGCCCCCCATTGTCGATGTGACGTGATGCGTTGTCACAAAGTCATTGGCCTGATGCGCACGTCATTGTACGATGATGTTGAGATGTAATAATTATTTTTCAATTTCTTTCCATTTTTTCGTCCATTCTTTTGCCTCCATTCTTTCCTTCCCCACTGTGTTTTTTAGCCAAAAAAAATAATGCAACTTTACTTCTCTGTTATGGTCTTTCTGCATCTTTTTTGCTATTTTGTCTAATTATCTTAGTTTTACCAAAATAAGATAAGAGGGAGAGGGTTGGAATCTTTTTAATTATGGTTTTGGGTTTGAATATGCCAATATGGGTTTTAATTGGCTATGGAATTTTTTGCCTTATTGGTGGGCAGGCAGATACAAAAAAGGTATAGATAGAACATAAGGGTTTCTGTGGTGTGAGCATAAAGAGGGTCAGATATTTATCAACGATCGAAAGGTCCTCTGCGTTTATTCTCTTTGAATCTTCCTAGGGTTTCTGAACTTTCCCCCATGTTTGATTCCTCCCGTTTCCTTCGTTTTCAAAAATTTTCCTGGGGTTTCTAGGTGGTTTGTTTGTTTTCCTAGAAAATCTGGGTTTTCTCTAGTGATTTTGATCGTGGTTTTTTCTTTGTAACTTTGAAAGTTGAAACATCTCTAGGGATTTTGGGTTGTCACTATTGTTGTCTTCAATTTTTGACATTTTTCTGTGCTAAGATTGAAACTTGTTTGCTTTCCTAGAAAATTTGGCTCAGTTTCTTTCTGGGTTTTCCTTCTTGTCGTCTATAAAACTATCCATAGAGTTCTGGGTTGCCATTTTTCTTCACTAAGGCCTAAACTTTCTTATGTATGGTAGTACCTAGATACTTCATAGCTGCTGAATATATATCAAGGGCTTTTGGTGAATCTTGGTGAGAATTTGTTTTTTTTTTTTTTTTTTTAAATAAAAATCTCATTTAGGGTTTTCTTTATTTTCTTTGGATATGTACCGATTGACTTGGTTTTGATGATGAAGTAGAAGATGGTGAGGGGGAAAATTGAGATGAAGAAGATCGAGAATGTCACAAGCCGGCAAGTGACCTTCTCCAAGCGTCGAAATGGGCTGCTGAAGAAAGCTTTTGAGCTATCTGTTCTTTGTGATGCAGAAGTTGCAGTCATTGTTTTCTCACAGAAAGGAAGACTTTATGAGTTCTCAAGCTCCGAGTATGTTTTTCTTCTTCTTAATTGTGCTAACAAAGTTCTCCACTTAATTATTTCCTTTATTTTTATTTTTATTTCACTGCACTAGAGCAAAGTATGGGTTCGTTTTCAAATTTCCTACTTGTACTGCACAGATTCTTCTATAACTCTTTACAGATATGCTCATTATGGTGGATGTGTACTTTCTCAGCTCCACTTAGAAATCTTAATATTTGAATGAACAATTTTCCTTGTTTGCGTTTGACTTATTTTCTTATTGTTAAATATGAAAATGGTTTTCATGATTGTATCTTTTGGGTGTTATTTATTCCTTTTTCTGAAATATGTCTACCGCTACTAGGGTTTGCTTATAGTCGGTAGTGCCGACTTCCTTCTGTTTGTGTTAAAGGACTTATAATTGTAGAAATTTTGTTTTGGACTGTTATAGTTTTTGATTGTGTATGCAACTCTATTATGATGTAAGATGTTGTAAGTACCTCTTGTATTCCAAATTTATAAATGTTTTTTGACTCATAAAAAAAGAAAAAAGAAAGTCTACTAGGGTTTGCAAAAGCTCTTTTGAAGAATGAACATATTGTTCGGTATGTTTGACATCACATGTAGTTGGTGCTTTGTGAGGTTAAAAGGAATCTGTGGAAGTAAAATTTTAAGGAGCATCAAGTCTTCCATAGGCTTCAATTACATCTATGGAATGTGTGATTTGTATGAATGATAATATTAAGAAATATTTTGTTAAGGTACATTACATTAGAAGAAATTGCTACTTAGACTCAAAACATATTAAACGGAATTAGTTAGAGGATACAAGTATCTAGGGTGAATCCTATCATTTATTCTTTCAATCTCTAGCTAAAAATCTAATGGTGCATATCATGTAGGATCAGTGTTCACCTAAGTTGCAAGCTTCACGCCTTAATTCTTTAAAGTCATCATTAAGTACTTGCTTGTCAAGTCTTGGGTACATATTCATGTTTTGCCCTTATCTTTTATGATGATGATTCTACTACAATGTTTTTCCTTAAAAGTGTTTGGTACAAGGCATGTCATTTAGCGGGTGAATGTATTCTAATTTACATGTTCTATAAAATAAAAAGATAATTGCAAAACCATTCATTTTATATCATGTCACATTGTAAAACATAATTATATGGAAAGACATTGTATCTCAACTTTTTTTTTTATTTCTTCTATATATTTATATAATCCTATATGTGGTAGAGAAAAGATAAATTAGAAAACATAAGGATTGCATAAGGCATTAGACATTTTGACCATCTCTAAATGAATAAGATAGTGTAGTTCATTGGGGCATGAAATCTTCTACAGCTCAAAAAATTAACTCTGGAGGATTTGAATATCTCTCATAATTTTATTTTAACATCTGAACTTATTAAAATTTTATGTAGAATATGGCCTAAAATGTGGTCGGTATGGTGAAGAAAATTTATTTATAATTCACTCTAATAACATTGAGATCAAGTGTTGGTTGATTTACTTGTATTTGAAGGTGTAATAAGTCTAACCATTATTTCCTCTCTATTTGATGCACGCAAGCTTCTTTAAATAACAACATAAATTTGGATGCATGATCTCTTCTCTTTTTCTTTTTGGCTTCTTTTTTGTTGGAAATTAAAGTCCTCTCTAGAAAAAAAAGAAAAAGAAAAAGAAAAAGTGGCAATGCAATCAAAGAAAAGATACAGAAAAAAAATCAAGAAACTAGAAGAAAATCATGAAGAAAAACTAGAAGAAATTTGATAAGTCCCAAAAGAATCTAATAAGAGATCTTGTACCTAGCTGGAATCCTATAGAAAGATGAAGAAATTCAAGTAAAAATCTAAGTTAGGAATGATGCAAGTTGGTTAATCGTCAATTAAGAAGGCCTATAAGCTGGCCTAAAGCTTTGTAACTCATATGAACAAGTGAGCTACATACCATTTGAAATTGTTTCCCTAAGCTATCTATACCTCAAAATATTTCCTAAACCATGAGTCTTCCCAGCTGTGTCTTTTCCATACAACCCAACTTCCCAATAACCTAGGAACTAATGACTTAGGATTGGAAGGGGAAGTCCTCAAGTAGAAACGAATGAGATTTAGATACTACAGGTAGCTCACCACCTTTTCAAAACTATCCCCTAACTATAGAATTGTAACCAAAAAATTTGAAAGCTGCCATGCTTTGTTACTCGTATGTTTAGATAAATTTTGCCAACTTTAGTGATTGCTTCAGGTTACGAAATGTCATTCTTACCAGCTACTAGTTAAATATATATTAACTCTTCTTAGGAATCTGACTAAATTTTATTTCATCTGACTTCTCTATAAAATTCCTGCAATTACCTTGAGAGAGTCAGAAGCTCTGATCAAGGTTATATGTTGGGTGGTATGATTAACCCAAAAAATAAATATATATATATATAATAAAATTAAGATCTAAATTCAAATATTGCATTTAAGTGGAATTTCCGAATGTCAATTTTAGTTTGGGCTATGTATTTTAAATACATGCATTTATAAATACATTGTGTTAGGATTAAATAAATGGATAATGATTGGTCTATCCTTTGGTTCAACACATTCCTCAACATATTCATTAAAAAATTATTATTTTCAAATTTGAATTCAAAGCGGGCAAACTTTTGGCTATAGATTTTAATGGCTGAATCGGTAGATGTTGATAGGTGTGTTGAATCGGAAGGTGTACTAATTGTTTTTCTAAATAAATATAACTATTATGATTTTGAAATCCATGCATATAAAAAGGATAATAGTGGACATTAACATTTTTGAATTACATATGTAAATTAAGTATTTAAAACAAATGAATTTGAAATTTGGAAAATGATTGGCATCCCTTCTGGTTTAACAAACTTATCAACAGCTATTGGTTCAACTATTAAAATCTATTACTTAAGTTGTTCCACCTTTAATTCAAAATTAAAAATAATAATTTTTTAAAGAGTATTGAATTGAAGGGTGGATGTATAAGTGTCCTTTGATATTTATGAGATACATGATATTTATGAGATACACAATGTATTCTTGCAAATGTCTACGCTTCTTCCTTTTTTCTGTATTTTTTAAAAATAAAACCAAACAAATTTCTCCAAGTTTTATGTCTAAATTCAAATGCAGTGCTGATAAAAAAAATTCAAGTGCACTCTAAATTTTGTAAGATATTGAAAGACCCTAGATACATATAAGGATGTTAGGTGTTGAAGTTGCATGTCTTAAATTTTTTTAAAGAAATGGAAATGCCCCAGAAATGTGTTCAAAAGCGCTTCTTTGTAAAACAAGATGAGAAGCTAAGATCTTATTTCGATCTCTTTTCCACCACTCAACTAAACTAACAAAGAATTATGGCTATTTTGTGATGTGATGGTAAAGGAAAATGATTGATATATACTCCGATTCAACACACCCCATAATATTCATCGGTTCAGCTGTTAAAGCCATTAAATTCTATAAAATAATTTCTTATGAGTATGTTGTAAAGTGTGTTGAGCTAAGGATATATCAATAATTGTCTGATAGTAAAACTTCTACTGTTTAAAGTGTATATAGGGTTAAATTATAACTTGTTCAAAGTGACTATTCCATGTAAAGATGTTTGAAGGGCTTGATCATATATACCCCTACACTCCTTCAGGAAGGTTATTTCTGTGTGATATTCATATTCCGCAGCGACTGATCATGAAATTGCATAGGGATTTTAATACCAAGATCAACTAGTGATGCTTTTTTATGCATTCTATTCAAATCTAATGGAATTCTCCATAAAATAAATTCATCTTTAGTTTTGACAACTAAAGTAATTTATCATCTGTTTTTTCGATTGGGAGTCATTTATTTGGTATTTGCAGTTGTATTCCTGTGCTCCAGTTTCTCTGTGTTTTTGTTGAGGAATTGCATGCATTTCCATTTCGGTATTCATGTTAGGTTAGGCTTAGAATATAGGGTAAGGCATGCATGTAATGTTTTGATTATTCTTCTCTCCAGTAACTAAGGATGGCCTTACATTTATGTGGTTGTGAGTGCTTTTGGTACCCTTTTAATGAAATTGTTTTACCATTTGCTGATAGGAAAATATGTTTCTGCTTGCTTTCAGTTAGTTATATATATATATATACATATATATATATATATATATTTTCCTTCTAAACTGTTAACTTGGATTAAGATCTTGTTTTGTGAATGGTCCAGCATGCAAAAGACCATAGAACGATACTCTAAGCATAGAAAAGAAGTTCCAACTCGCATGCCTGAAATGAAAGAATACATGCAGGTTAGACCCCATCTTTCATTGTAAAGTAACTTTCCATGAATATGTACTGAAAAAAGAAACTTCATAAATGCTTAATATATGTTTGATGATTATTCACTGCAAACTTCTTGTTTTATATTGTTCTACTATTGTAAACATTCCTGATTTCCTCAAATTATTTGAAGTGCAGCACATGAGGCTTGAAACGGAAAACATGGCAAAGAAGATTGAGTCCCTGGAGGTTTCTAGAAGGTTTTATGATTAATAATAATATATGTTTGATGCTTATTTAAGCTATGTAAATTTTACACCACCTTCATCCGGGTGAATGGATTTCTCAATCTTGAAAATTTTGTGTTACAGGAAGCTGCTAGGTCATGGATTGGATTCATGTAGCATTGAGGAACTTCAAGAGATTGATAGTCAACTAGGACAAAGCTTAAGAAAAATCAGGGCAAGAAAGGTCTGTAAGCATTATGTAAAATCTAGTTTTATACTTCTATTGTTGAGTCAGGCATGTATTACAAATCTAGTTTTCATCCGCAATTGCTTCCTCCTTAGGTCATAGATAGGGCTTCGACCCACATCTCTTTAACCTTTATACAGTCCAAGATCTCTCTCTTCTAATCAATGTGGGATTGGAGTCTTGCATCCTATCTATTCCCCTATAAGGAGCTTGGCCTTGACATTCCTTTTCTTATTGCATCGAAGTTTCTTCAATGTTATAGATTCTTTGCGCCATATACCTATATATAATTTCTAGGCAGTTCTAGAAACTTGTGTTGCTTGCATAGAAGTAAGCTAAACATGTCATGTGCTATGCTATAGGCCCAGTTATATAAGGAGCAAATAGAGCAACTAAAAGAGAAGGTAAGAAACTCCCTCCACTGAATTAAAGCCCATATTTTTTCTTTCAATAGTTCTAGCTCTAAGCATCTCTAAAATGCCCTATTTTCCTCTCTTGTCTTTTCTTTTAATAATTCATTTTTATTTAATCTTAATTCAGGAGAGAATGTTGTTGGAAGAAAATACAATGTTATCCAAACAGGTGATCCTTCCACTCCTCAATATTGTTAAACTCTCTCTTCACTAAAAAACATTTTGTTCCTCTTAACCCTATTGAGTTTGTTATTTAGAGTGATGGAAAGAGATGGCAGCAGCCACCAATCCACTGCGCTCAAAATGGCCAATGCTCAGAGGTTGTAACAGATTTGTTCATCGGACTGCCAGAACACCATTAATTTCAAGGGTCTGGTCAATTTTTCAGCTGAAATTATTTTACTACACCAAATAATGCCATATGATCAGTGTATGGTCCGTTGAGTCACCTATTTATTTATTTTCTTTTTTATTTGTATGGTCTAAATGTAACTATAATATATAGTGTAAAAAGATGGGGGTCATGACATTTTGAAACCCTAAATTCAGTGTAATATATGACACAACATGTGAGTGTATATATATATATATATTTATATATATTTAGTACTAGACGCAGGATTTTCCATTTTGTTTATGGAATGAAGGGATTGTCTAAAATATCCTTTCTGAAGACGGAGACGGAACAATACACAAGTTGTTCGGCAAAAGCCAATATTCAGTTCTTCATCTTACAAAAATGGTAGGGTTTTAGTTTTTTAT